TTCAGACCCAATTCGTCGAGTCTCCTTGGCCGACTCGCCGAGTCGGTCGCTTTCACCACAACTCGGATCCCGCTCGGACTCGCCGAGTCCCTCCATGGACTCGCCGAGTCTCCCCTAAACTTGAGGTTTTCTTTCTTTTCTTGGCTTTCCAAATTTGGGGTGTTACATTTTAGGCTTCGGTTTAGGCCATCTTTTGGGTTTTGTTGTTTTGGGCTCTGTTGGTCCATCAGGTTTTGGGTTGATAATTATTTATGGAGGCCCACTATGGATTTGTGCCCAATTTGGAAAATTAGGCCATAGATTGGGCCTTGGTTAGTTTTTGGTATTTAGGCCTTTTGGCTATTAGGTTTGGGCCTAAGTCTTGGTCCAAAAGTAGGTGAGGGGTAAATTGTTCATTTATCCTAGTAATAAATTTGTGGTTACAGATTGGAACCCAATTGTTGATTGGGTGTGGTTTTGACTTCGATAGTTCGGGGATCAGTCAGCCAACAGCTCGGGATTTTATGTTTGATTCGGCAGTGCGAGGTGAGTCGTCTCACTACATCCATTGGTTGGAGGCACCATTGTCATCCCATTACGTGTTATGTGGTATGCTAGTTGTCTCTGTGATATTTGCACGGAAGACCATGGGGGAGCCCATGACATTCCAGGTAAACACCATGTAGGGAGCCCATGGCATTCCAGATAAAGACCACGGCGGGAGCCCATGGCAACTATATGTATGTTGGATGATAATCTGTGGTTGTATTTGTATGGTATTTTGGGGAACTCGCTAATCTTTGTTCTTACGGTCTTCAGTTTATGTTTCAGGTACTTTGGTTTTCAAGTGAGAGGGCTTGGGATGATTATAAAACACACATCCCATGTTTCCGCATTCTATGAAATACTCTGATTTAATGATGTTTTGCTAAGACTCGGTTACATTGGTTTTATGGGAAAACTATGTATTAACGATTTAATAATCTAAAGACAAAAAAAATTATGTCTTGATTTTCGGGTTGTTACATTACCCCTGTAAATATGGAGCAAGAAAAAATTTGTTTTACCTTCATGATACGAAATAATTTCTTTGATTTGTTAAATGGCGTTCGTCAGATTTAATTGATGATCTAAATCTCAAATGCAAAACTAATAAAAGATAGTGCATTTGGAATTGGGTGACCTAATATATATATATATATATATATATATATATATATATATATATATATATATATATATATATATATATATATATATATTACACAATCTTAGTAAAATTATTTACATCTAAAATTTTATTATACCATATTAAAGATATAATAACTTACATCGCAAACCAATGTATAATGCTATAATAAAGTCAGTCCCTTAAAAAATAGTTGTAACACCTCATTATATGGGATGAAAAGTTAAACTCTGTGGGGATAGATTCTTTTGGGTGGAAGAATATTAATGTCAAGTTTATCACAAAAAACCCATGCTACTTGAAAGCAACAAGTTGGATTTTAGGACATTTTTGTTATATTTTGCTCAATGATATATACACTGCAATATCTACAAGTGTAAATGGTTCAGGTTCGGGTTCGGATTCGAATATGGATTCAGGCTCGGGTTTAGGACCAGGACTGGGTCCGAATCCAGGACCGGGTTTGGGCCCGGGTCTAGGTGCATTTAAATCATTTTATGGTATATTCATAGATAATAACTAACCAAACAAAAAACATTAATACTTAGATATGATTATATACAAACATAAAACATCCAAAAATAAACATAATAAATCTAAAAACAAGCATGAAACATTTCTTTTAAGACTAACCATCAAATAAACCACTTTGAAAACCTTCATTAGTTTTCATATGATGATAAGATTAGTTTTCATATGATGATAAGGAATGGGGTTTTCCTCAAACTAAAATAACACATAAATTGTTATAATATTAACAAATCAAACTAAATTAACAAAATATAAAAGAGTGAACCGGTCGGCTACCTGTCGACGATAAACTCAAGTTGTCGTGATGTCATCAACGTGTAGCTGCACGATTCGAGCCCATTCTCATGCCACTATTTAACTTGCTCGGTGTTTTTTTTGCAAACTAAACTATATTGTTATATTTAAATAAAAATATACTAAAATATAATCTTAAATTTAAATAAAAATATATAAAAGTATATTGTTATATTTAAATAAAAATATACTAAAATATATTCTTATATTTAAATAAAAATATACTAAAGTATATTGTTATATTTAAATAGAAATATATTTCTAGTGCATATCTCGACCACTAAACGAGGGATAGAGAAGATGTTTAACAAAATTCAACTTCATCCGTTCCCACTATTCGTCTTACGGCATGTACAAACAAGTTCTTATATATTTTAATGATATCATCAATCTAAACTTTAACACAACCTTCAATTATTGGTTTCAAATGTAACCATTTTTTAGGTTACCATGCGATACCATACCAGAAGCTACTTTCAACTCGGTGTTAGCCACTTTCAATAACAAATCACATGATGTCATAACCTGCAAATCATACAACATTGTTCGTAAGTATAATATAAAAACATAATTTAAAATATATATCATTTTTATGTAGAAAACTATAAATATATTACCTCAATATGTAGATATTCTACCAATCGTTCACCAGACGTACCACTATATTCACGAAATGTTGGGATCATGTCGACCCATGGTATCGAGCTTCGACTATTTTCCACATTCTTAAAAAAATCCACTGAAAACCTTAGTAGGCCTAATGATATTGGATATATTCCATGATCGTACCATGTGTTCACGTCCCAAAAGTCTAACTAATGAGTCTTCCTTATTTTGATAATAACGGTCATCGGCTATCATATTTTTATCTTCTCGTTCCTATTAAAAAAAAATACTTGGTAACATTTATTTACCAAAAAACTCAAAATCTTCATTGATTAAATAATAATTGTTTATCAAGAAATTGAAAATCTTCAATTTTCTCTTGTGGAAAATCACACATCTTGGTTTCTTTGTTTTTTTGTGCGAAAACCAATAAATACAGCCTAGACCATTTATTTTGTATATGTTCAAAAAACTCGTATTTTGATAAAATTGAGGCCATATAACATGTTTTCTGTTTTTCGAGACCCTGCCATCTACCTCGTCCTAAGTGGCCAATGAATTTCTTATTAGAACTGCTTTGTTTAGCATTTGCACTTTTTGCCTTTAGACGTATCAACAAAATGTTATTAATTATTTGTGAACATACTAATAATACTATACTGCCCTTAGGCTGATTACAGTTTCTTACGTAACCTTTTAGGATACTCATATATCTTTAGAAATGGTACATGTACCGTAAAAATACATGACCACAAACCTTAATCTCTTATACAATATGAGATATTAGGTAGACCATTATATCAAAAAATGAGGGTGGAAAGTGCATCTCTAGTTCACAAAGTGTAACATAAACTTCTTTCTCCCATTGATCTAAATTTTCTACATCAATAACCTTTGGGTGAATGTTGTTAAAAAAAAACAAAGCGTCGTGATAGAAAGTTGGATGTCAACTTGTAAAATTCCACGAATTGCATCCAAGCATGGGATGGCCCACCTTAACTTTTAAGTGGCGCATCTAAGCATAGGATGACACTTGTTGATTATAGATGGCGTATCCATGCACCGGGATGCTCCATTCCACTTCCAGGTGCTCCATACCCCCTTTTAGAAGATCTTTTTCTTTGTCATTTGATATGTTTTATTGCCGAATGATCCATTCCCTTTTCAGATGATCCGTTTCTTTGTCACATGCTTTATGAACCTAAAGTGCTCAATTGAGTTACAAATGCTCAATTGAACTCAAATGCTCCATACGAATGCTTCAAATTGTCAAAGTCACATTTAACATACTATTTAAACTATCTAAATGCATAATTAAAAAATATATATAATTATATAAGTCTTATTTATATTAAATGAACAAAAAATAAAAGCAAAACATGATTGTAAATCGTACAATTTAATTTATTTATGGATTATGATTATAGTAGCTTGAAATCTTTAACAAATATAAACAAATAAAAGTTCATAAAATAGTATTAAAATTAATCCGAACAAAACGTTAAAATTTTTTAACAAATTTATACAGCATGTCAAAAAAAATATAAACTAAAAATATATAAAAAAAAACATTTGACAATATATTCAAACAAAACATCAAAAAAAAACCTAAATTATAAATAAATATATCTAAAAACACTAATAAACTATAAAATCATAAAAATAAACTAACTTTTGTTAATAAAGAAATTTATTTAAAATTATTTAGGTTTTTTGGTTTTTTTTGTAAAGATGCCTCTTTGAAAAAAAAAAATCTTAGAAAAAACTATCATATTATTATTAAATTCTTAAAAAATCATTATATTATTATTACTTTTTTTTTTGTATATTAAAACCTTTAAAATTTTCTAAAATATCTAATTTAAAACTTTGAGTTCGGTAAACAGATAGCAAAAAGATTATAGGTAATCAATTCTCAACAGTTTAATGGTTACATTTCACTGAATTAAAAATTTTCAAAAAAATATAAAGGTTTTAATGGACTAAAAATATAATACAACGGTTTTTTAATGCTTAGGTAAATTTTCTAAAGGTCAAAAGACTTAAATAAAACTATATAAAAATATAAAGGTTTAAATACATTAAAAAAATATTGATTTTTTTAATAAATAAGATGAAAATATGTTTGATTTTTATAATCTTCTAAGGAAAATTCTTGAAAAGGCATCTCTAAAATTTATTTTTTTGTATCGCTATGGGAAGATTTCTTGTAATGACAGGTGCATTTTAGAAATATAATTTTTTGTTTTTATTAAGAAACATTTCCATTGACTTTGATTTTGTCAAGTCTTCGTTTGTTAAGTTTCCAAGTGCCTTATCGATCACTTCACTTTCCATAGTCCATGCCACACTCGCACTCAACCATTCCCCAACGACACGAACTCCTTTGCTCAGCTTAGTGATGATAAAGTCACAGAATCTCTTGATAGTTTTGATCTTGATTTCATTTTCACTCTCCATTATATCTCAAAAGCTCATTAACTGTACCCACTCATGCCCCGGCGCCCAAATTAATCCCGTCCCCTACCCATTCGGCTTCTCCTCTGGCTGCCAAATCCAGCTCAATTGCACCTCCGATGGCTCCATTTTAATCGGTGAATTCCCTGTTCAACAAATTAACCCGGATGGGTTAACCGTCAGCCTTCCCGCCATGTGCGGCCGCCCCCTTGACGCCCTCAGCCACCTGTATGGAGAACACTATGCTCCGATGTCTACCAACGGGATCCTCATGAAAAACTGCACCGAACAGACCAAGAATTGTATGTTTCCGATGACGACGGTACAAACCCATCTCAAGACTTGCAGCGACACGCTGGGTACTTACGGAAACGTGAGTTGTTACTCTGGTGATGTTACTAGTATGTTTCTTGAATATGAAAACGTGACAAGGATGGGATGTCGGTATTTGTTTTCCGGCGTTGCCTCGGAGATTAGTGGGGATAGCAAGGTGGTGTCTATAGATGCTCAAGTAATTAAGTTAGGGTGGTGGCTTAAGGGGAGTTGCGACTGTTCTCATGATGCTGATTGTACAAATATTTTGTCTCCGTTGGATGGAAGCGATGGGTATCGGTGTAGGTGTAAAAGCGGTATTGACGGCGATGGGTACAAAGCCAGCTCCGGTTGCGGGGAAGTGAAAGGTATGTCGTCATCACTTGGAAGTTTTATTAATATATGATAATTTATAAAACGTTATAGATGTATTAAAATTTAATTTAAATATGGACGACTTGTCGACTTACACGAAACTTTTGTCAACTCTCCAAAGTTGATTTTTGGTTCATTGTTTTCATTCTCATCATATATTTTATATATGAGATAATTATATGTTGCATTTGTTAAATATTAAAACAAATTGTAATCTTAGGGAAGAAAGAAAAATAAAATATTCCTTTGTTTTGAAGTTGATTTTTGAATTAATTACCACGCTCTCAACGAAATTTTGGTATCATACGAAATTATAAGTGATATATATATATATATATATATATATATATATATATATATATATATATATATATATATATATATATATATATATATATATATATGTTGTAAACATTATGTTGTACAATAAATGGTTATAGCCAGCTCCATTTGGTTAACAATACCCCACCACAATGGTCATGAACCAACCCGAAAAAAGTCTGTCCTATCCGAAATGGTGGTAATGCATGATTGAATTAAGAGTAAATTACAGTAATCATCGCCGTGCATATCTTAAAATGTACGTTTGGTCCCTATTTTCAAAAATTAACCCGAATAGTCCATTGTTTGGTTAAACGTTGTACGTTTCATCCCTCGTTAGTTTAAATCTACATGCTTCATCCTTTGCATGATTTGAAAATACTATATTGCCTAGTATCTTTTCTTTTTGAATTTCATTTTACATGTTTATTTTTTTTTTTAAATTATAAGATATAAAAAATGAACTGGCCCTTCACCATTACACACCCCCACCCCATTTAGCTAGATACCCTAAATCTTCCCTTTCGTTTCTTTATCTTCATCTCAAAATCTCACCTCCACTATGAAGTCAAAATCCTGCCACGGGAGTTAGATAATCCCGTTTTACACTCCCGCCACCCTTCACCTCTACCCTTACCTCACCCACCCAATCTGCAGTCTTCCGGCTTCCTATAATCCTACTATTGTCATCATCTCCAATTTGCACATTTCACCTCTGGTTCCCAAATATGAAACCTGTAACCCAAATGATTCTAGAAATCAAGAAAGAGAGAGTGGGACGGGAAGAAGATATGCAATAAAGAAAGAAGGACAGAAACAAAACCGTTAGTGGTGGTGGTGGTTTTATTCATCCCATCCAGTTGGTAATAATATGTGGAGAATATGTGGTTACGTTCGAATCGACACATGCGTTTCAAACCATCGTCTAGGGTTTTAGACAGAGCTCCACTATCACCATTGTGGCATTGTCCACAGATCGTCTCTTCTGCGCTGCCATCGTCACTTGTGCATTGCCTAGGGTTGAAACCCTAGATCTGATGTAGTGGTATTCTTTGAGAGATAGATAGATAGATAGATAGAGAGAGAGAGAGAGAGAGAGAGAGAGAGATGGAGAGAAGAATGATGAGGATGCAAGTATGAGATCAAAAGAGAATAAACATGAGACGAGAGCGAAACAGAGATTGAGGTTGGTCGGTGTCTTAGAGTCGATTGCCTCTGTTTGAAACTGAAGATGTCTGGTGATGGTGGATAACCGAAGATGAGATGTATTGAAGAAGAAGAAGAAGAAAGGGCTGAGGGGTGGAGGGAACGATTTATCAGATGTAGTGGTCTGTTTCTTTTTTAACAGGAAATAATAATTATTTTTTTGTAATAAATAAATCAATAATTAATTAATAAATAACAAATAAATAGAAAATAAATCAAAAAAGAAATAAATAAGGGTATAATGGTCTTTTTATGTGCGGAGGGATGAAGCATGTTATTAATATTTTATACATCACGATTTACTCATTTGTTATATTTTGACCACTGACATACATTTTTAATAATCCTTTTTTGAAACACACTTTTAAGTCTTATTTCCGTCCGCCTCCTATATAGTAGAAATTCCGCAGCATCGCTCGGATGATCCAAACCCTAGTTGATATTCAGGGCCGAACCTGAAAAATGAAATATTCTTAAAGGCCCAGGACGAACAAGAAAAAAAGAGCATTTATCTTTATTATAATTTTCTATTTCTAAATAAAAATATATAATGAAAAAAATTGGATCCTGTGCAGCTGCCCACTTTGCCCTCCTCTAAACCCCCATGTTGATATTGATTTACATGTAAACACTTAAATATAATCATTGTAAACAAAAGAAAAAGAATAAGATTATGACTTTTAAATATTAAAAGATTATTTACATACATAGAGTTTTCTATTTGCTACTTTGTAATGGAACCATTACAAAATTCCAATTTTCAATTAAACTTGCCGTGACCTCGCATCCAAACAAACCACGATTGTATCTTTCCACTCTTGGTCTGATCCTATTCGAAAAAATGTCTTGCTAAAGTCTGGTTGATGTCTACTCCTAGCCAAATAATAATAAAATTAAAAAAAAAAAAAAAAAATTGACGCGCTAAAAAAACTAACTGTCCTGGCTGACTACATCACGGCCCTATCTGTTTTTCTATTGTACATAGACATTTACATACAATATTTTGTAGCTTGTAAATCCAATGTGGATACATTTACTCAACTAGCCATCAGGGCCAGGAACACGTAATAGTTGACAACTACAACCAATAGCGCTATCACCAATTTCAAATAATAATCCTTCCTGTTTAAGTTTGGATCATCATATAATTTGACGTAAGCCCTTTTAAATCACTGTTGATTGAGTTTCCCCTTTCAAGCATCACTTATAGCTATTGGTACTTTTCTAATCTTTATCAACAAGGTTACCTATTTTTTGCTTATTTTCAAACCAGGATCCATGGGAGCTACAAGGAGGTTGATAATAGGTAAGGAGACAACCTTTTATATAAACTGAGGACATATTTTAATCAAACACACATTTAGAAGAAAAAAAATGATAGGGAAAAAAAGTACAGCTCTTTATTGGACCAAGAGAGAAATTATTCCCCATTGTATTTAGATGTATTTAACCATCATATCTAAAATCCGTTTATAGGACTCTCAAGTGGCATTATCGGAATCATGCTCATGTTGTTTGTGATAATCTGTCGAAAAAAGAGGTTATGGGAAAATCTAGTTGCTCTTAGGTTGGTAAGAATCTCCATTACTATGCATTTGTTGGATTTTTTGCTGGAAATTCTCCAAGTTCCCTAACCAACCATGTTTGGAAAACAGGGAACCACAACAAATCATGATATTGAAATATTCATAAGGAACTTTGGACATATAGCCCCGAAAAGATTCAAGTATTCGGAAATCAAGAAAATGACAAACTCATTTTATGAGAAACTAGGGCAAGGAGGGTATGGAAGTGTCTACAAGGGACAAATGCCTGATGGGCAACTAGTTGCAGTAAAGCTCTTAACTAAAGCCATTGGAAATGGACAAGATTTCATCAATGAAGTCGCTAGTATCGGTAGAACTTCTCATGTCAACATAGTCACACTCATAGGCTTTTGCTTTGATGGAAAAAAAAGAGCCCTGGTATACATGCTCATGTCAAAAGGATCCTTGGATAAGTTTTTACATGGTGATATATGTCGTCTAGAGTGGAACACGTTATTCCAGATTGCAAAAGGGATTGCACGAGGTCTAGAGTACCTACATCAACATTGTAACACGAGGATAATTCATTTCGATATAAAGCCTCACAACATTCTATTAGACGAAGACTTTGTCCCAAAAATATCTGACTTCGGGTTGGCTAAGTTGTGCAAGAGGAAAGAGAGTCTTGTATCTGTAACGGGAGCAAGAGGTACCGCTGGATACATGGCCCCTGAAGTATTTTTCAAAAGTTTTGGAGGTGCTTCACATAAGTCTGATGTATATAGCTATGGGATGATGGTTCTTGAAATGACAGGTGCACGTAAAAAGAACAAGTCTAACGACACAAGCATGAGTGAAGCATATTTTCCGGATTGGATATACAAGGAAGTAGAAAGTGGAGATAATCTAGGGGTTGATGGGGTGACAACCGAAGAAGAAGAGGAATTAGCTAGGAAGTTGGTGATGGTGAGCCTGTGGTGTATCCAGTCTGATCCATTGGATCGACCATCGATAAGTAAAGTTGTGGAGATGTTAGAAGGAAGCTTTCAATCATTAAAAGTTCCACCTAGACGTTTTTGGTCATCTCCCGCAAGGCATACGCAAGACAATTCTCCATCAGCCACACAGAATTTGAGCAGCGAGGGAATATTAAAAATGCAGGCTACCGAAGAAGAATTATCTTCATGACTCTGCACAAAATAATTTTTTGTTAGAAGAGATCTTTCACAAATATTAATTCTATTCAAAGTTATCTCCCACAAATTCTGTGTATACCATGGAAAATCAGTCAAAACAAAGTGTAGATGTAATTCGGGCTTTCTTTTGGTTTATATTTTTTAATGCATTGTTGATTAAAAACAACTTAGATGGCTCAATGTTGAAAGCACTACCCTTTTTTTACACTACGTACATATATTTTTGAGTCATTTTATGTAATCAAAATTTGATAATGGGCAGATAATCGACATGTTATCGCATATGAGTAAATATATTCATTTATGTTCTTTCGAAAATTGAATCATTGCTGATTTTTTAAACATTGGTTGTTGCTTCTTTGAGTTTGTCATATTGATAAACATGAGTTTTATTAGGTAATGGCTAAAGATGGCGAGAACCTGGCTAATGAAAAACTATGGGCTTCCATTGTCGAAAAACGCAATAATATACCGAAGAATAAATATGGGATTCCATTGTCGAAAATTCACTATATTACAAAATTTTAAAATGACATAGACTAATCTTACAAACAAATTACTTCTACCCTATCCAACGATTTATCTCACGGCTTTTGTTTTTCTAAAACAAAAAAAGATTTGAAATAAATTAAATTAAATATTTTAAGTGTGTTATAATAAGATTATTTGAAACCAAAATCTTGGACCATTTTTATAGAATAACTAAACGTATGTCATTTTAATTATAGGGTGAATTTAGGCATGTTGCGCATGTCTTTACCCTTCTTAACTTTCAAAATATTGTATTAATGCAAATATTTTTTTAAACATTTTTTAATATTTTATAGTTAATTTTTCTATGCAAGAATCATTATAATTAAAACTAGATGAGGAATCCCGCTTTGCGGGGTACGGATTTGTTATCAGTAGGTTGGAAGGTATCGTTTTTGTATGAAAGTATAGCACATTGTCTGAATTTGTAGTCACAGTAAAGTATGTTGTTATTCTCTCTATAATTTCCCCATTTACAAACGTATAATAACCAAATATGTCGCAGTATGGTATAAAATAATAAATATACATTGCTATTTCTTAATTTCATTAATTGTCCATGCCCTCGATTTCGTAAATCAACATAAACAACACAACATCAATTTAAAGAAAGATGTATAGAATTGTCTAAGTTTTTTTTTCAAAAAAAATCAATTTACTTATATTGATTCACGAAATCTTTACAAAAACAAAGCTTGGAAATTATTATGAGCTTATCGATCAAATACACAAAAATGATAATTAGATAGCTAAATATGATATTCCTTATAGCTTAGAAATGAAAACTGAGAAATAAAAATAGAAAAATATGATATTTGTTATTATAATAATAAAGCACCCAATAGGGAATCATATATTCCATTCCACCAAAGCAAAACAAATAGAAAAAATAGAAAAGGGTAATTATTACCCATTGATTTATAAACAAAAAAAAAAATCAGAAAAGGGTAATGTAGCAATTTTACTTGGAATGTAACCAAAAACATTAACCAAAATGAAGCTTTTGTAACTTATTTTAAAATTAGATAAATAAAAAAGACGGAAATAGTACCTAATTAACAACAGATCTTTTGAATATGCCAAAGAAATCAGCTTCCATACGCATCCATACAGCCACACACGCTTTAACTTTCAAAAATTGTTACATCATATAGCCATTGGAATATAAAGTATTAAAACAAAGAAATGTGAAGAAATTTATCCATATTAATGGCTACCTTTTCGTTCTTGTTAGATTGGTCAAGGGCAACATTGTCAATTTCAATTGGATTAGGCACCAATTACACACAAAAGAATTCTAGAATTAAGGCCTACACATCCAATATCCGTTCCAAAAAAAGACAAAATGTAGAATCTCAATCGCAGGAGGACACTGACACGACACAATTAATATGATGGATATACATGTGTTATTGAGGAAGATATTGAGCATGTCAAGGTAAGTTTGAGTTTTCACCTAATTACCATAATGTATGGTTTTCTTTTGTACTTCTTTTTATCAAAAATTACTGACTTTAATTGAGCCTCTTGTTCGAACTTTTTCTTAAGTTGGTTTGCTGATAGCAGCGTCTGTGAGCTATCCAACATCTGTAAGAATCAACAAAACCAAGAAACATTTATAAAAATATATAGGTGTTTATTTTTTACTTAATACAGATATAACGCCTTGATTAAAAAACAAGTAAGTCAGGAAAATGAGGTTTTTACTTTTCCACATTAATCCCAACTTTTTACAAATTTGCCCTTATTTTTTTTACTCTCATTTAGAGATAATTTATGATTACCTGAGCAAAAGGAATGCATTTGCTCACAAGCACATGGCCACTCCTTATTCCCTTTATAGGCCCAGCTGCAACACAATTAAACCTGAAAACAAATCAAAATTGAAAAAACACCATTAAAGTTTCATAATATATAATTTAAAACCATTAAAGTTGATATTTTTTTATACATGGCCTTTGACCGAGGATCTACATCTTGATGTGTTTGGTTTTCCGTGTTCTTTTTAACCTGAAACAATCAATAACAACAAATACATCATAAAATCTGCCAAAAAAAGAAAAAAAAACTGCAACCAAATTTAATCCAACAAACCTATTCAAGTGTCCATAAAAAATGCGGTTGATATTTTGTTTGAAATGTAACTGGACCAATCTACCAAAAAAAAAAGACAACACTAATCAATTCCTAACAACTTTGATACATAAACTATATAAAGTTTGTTTATATTAATATATTTATATGAAATTATCATTTATGGACTTACAGCTTGGCAATGGTAAACTTTTTATGTTGCCTCGCTGGCAGCCTTTACTTATGTCCCGAATTAGATGGCCATCCATCAACCGCTACTATTAAAACACACAGGAAAGAAAGAGGTCTTGATTATGGAAGATTAAAAAAAAAAAAAAAAAAAAAAGCAACCTGTAAATTTCAAAGTACACATCAAAATCAATAAAAGAAAGAGAATTATAATAACTTTTTACCGAATAAACTATCATATCCAAAAAAATGAAATAACATATGATGAAGAATGCTTACCGACAAATTTAATTTTGCATTAAATGCCAATAACTTGGGAAAAAATTATATAACGATCTTTAAAAAAAAATTTATATAAAAAAATTGAAATCTATGCCTGTTTGTCGTGCGTTCCAAAGGAACTCATCTCTTGTACGATATAATTAAAAGTACATTGCAATATGATGTAAGGGAGGAGGGAGTGCTTCCCTCCTAACCCACTGCCACATCAGTTTTTTTTACTTTCTCTTTCTTCTACTTTTTCCAACCCATAGAAACCCTATCTTTTTGAACTCATTCAACCCACTTTCTATATCATTCTTTTTTATTTTTTTATTTTTTTGCTAATTGAAAAAAAATTCTAAAAAAATATCAAAAATAACATTTAATATTCTTTTTCATTTAATTAAATTAGAAAATATAAATTAAAATAAAACATAACATTTTTTTGATTTTTTTTGCTAATTTAAAAAAAAAGTTGTGAAATAATATTTAAAATAACATTTAATTAAAAAACCACACTACAAATAAAAAACACGATAATTAAAAAAAAATACACTTAAAAAAAGACAACATAATTTAAATCCTAAAACGTATTGAAATTAACTAGTTATTATATAGAGTTGGAATTTAGGCATGTTCAATGTGATCAACAAGATCAGATCGAAGTTGGTGGTGGGTTTCAGCATTGCGCAATTCGTGTATTATTTCTTGGTCATCAACTTCGTCGGTGGGGGGATCGGGCTGATACACATGACATATCGCAACACCCTCATCTTTCAATATCATATTGTGTAGTATAATGCAAGCGTACATTATATTTTTTGTTTTCTTCATCGTCATAGCTCGTGCAGGCATCTTTAATATGTCCCAACGTCCTTTAAGGACCCCAAAAGCACGTTCTACATCATTTCTTGCTGATTCTTGTGCCGCCTTGAACCGTATCTTTTTGTCGGTAACTAGATATGGATATGCCTTCACAAATACAACCCATGATGGATATATTCCATCCGCAAGGTAGTAACCATGTTTGTAGTGTTCACCATTCAGATAAAATTAACAATCGGGTCCTGTTCCATGATATTTCTCATCAAACAATGGTGATTGGTAGAGGACGTTTAAATCATTGTTAGACCCGACTACACCATATAATGCATGTCAAAACCATAAATCTTGTGACGTCACCGCTTCTAGTATCATTGATGGATACTGATGGTCACCCCTCATATATTGGCCTCTTAATTCTGTTGGACAATTCCTCCAATTTCAATGTGTGCAATCAATGCTACCAAGCATTCCAGGGAATCCATGTCTAGCTTCATGTGCTTCATACAAAAGTTGAATATCAGTGGATGTTGGACGACGTAAATATTCAGCCTTATACATTTGGACAACACCGTAGCAAAAGTTTTCAAGAGATTCACGAGAAGTTCTTTCTAACAGATTTAGATACTCATCTAACGAGTTTGGGTTATAACCCTTCGCTAATTGACGTATTGCTGATGTGCATTTTTGTAGCGCACTGAAACTTCTTTGATTTGTTGCATCCCATGTTGTTTGAAAATAAGGATAATTCGCCTCCAGGTCACCAACAAGTCGCATAAACAAACCTTTGCGAATACGAAACCATCTGCGGAATTGCGCGTGACCATAGGTTGAATCATCTGCAAAATAATGTTGGATCAGCAGTCGTTCAGCCTCTAACGATCTCTGTGGATTGTGTTTCTCCTTTGAATGTTGCTTGAACTAGCATTAGTCTAAAGAAGTAGTTGTGCAGTACGAGACAATACGGGTAACAAATTATTGTTGATAAGTTCATCATCAGATGATGAACTGTCATCGTTAACTTCCATTACTATTTTCCAAATGTTTGGATTCATTTTAAAAGAAGAGAAAAGTTAGAGAGAAAATGAAACAAACATGCATATATATATATATATATATATATATATATATATATATATATATATATATATATATATATATATATATATAATGAAACAAGCATAGCTATATATAGATAATAAAACAAGGATACATATAGAGAATCTTAATAAAAATAAAAATAAAAATAAAATAAAAACGAACATGAAAATAAAATAAAAATAAAAATAAAAAACATAATAATAAAGAGAAAGATTCTCCAGTCAAATGATGTCTGACATTTTGAACTTCACGGGTTCTCTAACTCCCAACTATACTTAGTTGCAATTTGTCGTTTCCTTTCAAGCACCGTGCGCAAAATACCTCCAGTTAAATGATCATGCGGCCGGAGAAAATACTCCATATCTTGGTTCTCTATCTCACGATCCAACAATTGAGCTTTTTGTTCTTCATTAGCTTCGAGAATGCGTAATTTTTGTTCCATGTACCGTTGTCTCTGTTCTGCCTCTGTTTCGGTTGCAGTCTTGATGCTGGCAATTTGTTTGACGAGATCAAACATTTCATTTTCTGTTGAAGATATTGATGCCGCTTTCTTTCCTTTTCTTTTTCTCTGTGGCGGTGAGTCTTCAACACTAAACGACTGTTGTTGGGGGGAGAATCCAGGAGGATATTGTGGATCAGATGATGATGTGTAAGTGTTGGATGAAGATGTTTTAGTTCGTTTTGAAGAAGGAGGTGGGGAGTCTTCACCCACTTTTGTAACAAATGCCCATTTCGCGTTGTCTTTTAACCACTCCCAAGCTTGTTGATGAGGAAAACCTTTCTGGTTAATAGTCCTCCGATACTCGCTTAGTGAAGATTGTAAAACATCAGCCTCAGATCTCCCGCTAGCCACACTGTTCATCTTACGGTTATAGATGTCGTTGAAAGCATTACATTTCTTTTGGAGGTATTTCCATTTTGAGTTTACTTGGTGTCGTGACTGATCTGAACCTCCCATTTGAACACTGAAATGCTCTAGAACCCTCTCCCAAAATGCATCGAACCTTTGTTGATTTCCGTGTTGTTTATCTTTAGAAACATCGACATATGCCCTAGCCAAAGCCAACTCTTCGCGTTCCACCCAGTTCTTTCGCTTTTGGCGGAGTGTATAGTTGCGTTTTTTCTCAGCAACGGGTTGCAACTCCTCGCTAGTTTCTTCTTCGATTCTTTCGGGAGTTGGGTCATCACTAGAACTATCAGATTCTTCATTCTGAGCATCACGGAACTGGAAATTCTCGGGTTGAGAAGATTGGAATTGGGTTTCTAGAACCCTTTGAGAAAACTGATTCCATGGATTATAACTCTGCTTTTCCTCTGGAAGTCTAAATGTGTTGTAAGATTGTTGCACCGGGAAATATTGTTGTGGATAGTTTTGGTTTTGTTGGTAGTTTTGGTATTGTTGATAGTTTGGATTTTGAAAATCTTGAAAAGAAAGTGGAATATCTTGATTTGAACCGCCTTGTGTGGATTTGTGTTTTTGACTAGAACTGGTTTGTTTAGCTTTGCCTCGGGAATCCATTGAATGTAACTAAATGAATCAAATGAAACATAAAATTTTCCAGAGTAAAAACACTACAAAACCATAGGTAAATAAACTTGTAAAATAAAAAAGTTAAAAACAAAAACCCGTATCAATGTAGTCAAAGAATGTAGTCAAAGTCAAAGCTCAAATGTGACAGCTATATGCATTAATTTTAGTCACATGCATTACTTCTCTTGCAGGGAATCTTTTGGAAAGTTGCTACAAAAAAAAAAAAAAACAAAACATTGATTCCTACTTTCTAACTTTACCAACAGGTTCACCAACCCATTTTTCAAATGTGAAGCCACAACCAATGTTGATGTATCGTTTCTGGGCGGTACCGCCGGTACCGTCTTTATCTTTTTTCACGATTCCGTCCTGCCTAAGAGAGACAAAGATAATGTCCCTTTTTGTAGGTTGAAATATAGAAGCAACAATTTCAGGTCTTGTGTTGGTACATCAGGTAGAGCCAATTCATCTTCATCTTTTATAGAAGATGACTCAGCAACATGTGCTTCTGGGAAATTTTCAATTGTAATCTGTAAATCTCAAATGGAATTAAAGTTGTTGTTCTTAGACATTATTTAAGAAATCCTAAAAATAGATAGAAGTTGAAAAAAAATCAAATGGAAATATACCTCAACTTCTAACTTTTAAAACTCTGATAAAAGCTCATTGGTATGAAATCCTGTTGGAAAAAGAAGACTCCTGTCATTAAAACAATTGATAAAGTACACTAATATACATCTCAATTCATGTATGCAATTCAACATATACAGGCAGGACTTGTGCATATGATAAACAAAGATAATTAATAATATGGTATAAAAGCTTGGGAAGTACAAAATATTCAAAGGGCTCCTAGATAACTGGTTATACAATCCACTTTAGTGATCATGTTGCCACAAAATATCCGGTGAAAGGTTGTAAAATTTGTATTAAAATACTCATGATCTCTCACAGAAGTGCTAGTATCAAAATTAGATGAAAAACTACTAAAAGTAATTGAAACAAACGAGGCGCCATAAACTTGAAAACCATTTTAGTCATTTAAGCATTTTGTCAAATACACGATGAGCACTTTATAAGTCGTTCATTAAAATTGAATACCCGTACCCTTAAATTTGATCTTCTCGGGATATATAAACTCGAACTGAGCATTCCACAGGAACATAAAATGGTTTCCAAGCAGAGCACTCATTTATATATATATATATATATATATATATATATATATATATATATATATATATATATATAAGTTAATATCTTGTAAAATAAATACAAACCTACTAGAGCCATGAATAAAATAAGCCTTTAGTTGCACAAGATCCACAAGACCCTGAAAGTCCTCATCCAATCCTATTGACATTTGCTCGTGATATTCTTCTACAACCCGTTACGGTTGTCAAGATTGAGGCGCTGACAAGGTCAATTTGTGAAATTGTTTTGTGCTATCAAACTGGTGGAAGAGGACAAACTGTTGTCATAATCTTTTATCGGTGCTTCTATAACCCGTTTGGGTCGATTTTCATAGGTCGAGGGGAAACGGGTTGTAGAAGCACTGACGAAAGATTATGACAACAGTTTGTCCTCTTCCACCAGTTTGATAGCGCAAAACAATTTCACAAATTTACCTTGTCAGCGCCTCAATCTTGACAACCAAAATTGGAACCTATGCATAGCGATGTGACAGCGCGTAGGGTGAAGGGTCGTCGTGTTCGCTCTCCTTGCTAAAGCTATCCTAAAAGAATTTCATTTAAACTTGATTTCTTGGTCAGGAGAGAGAAAAAAGAGAGAAACAACGGAGGAAGAGTACTGAAATCGTCGATGTTGTCGAACTCATCACGGGAAACACTGATCTCATCTCCGGTAAAATACTTACCACTTATACGTATGGCGTGCTAGTGATAATCGATAACATTTGGCTTCAATCAGTGGTTCTAGAGGCGTGATGGTCATAATCTACACTTACAAGAAAAATAAGGTGTGTGAAGCAGCAAACAATGGCGTTGGAGAAATGTAGAAAAAATAAAAAGAAGCGGTGGGATTACATAGCCAAGTAAAGAAAAACATTCAACTTCTGAGTTATGAACAACACCCAACTCTATGATGGCTGACATAAAAAGGTATGGCTAATGGTGGTAGAATAAGAGAGAAGACGAAGAGTGTAGGCGTGGGGGTGGGGTGATCGTCAACTTCATCTCCACTGGTGGGACATCGACTCCGAATTAAAAATCGGCAGTAGTGTGGTTTATGATTGCTTGAGAGAAGAGCGAGAAAAGAATGAAGCAGAAGAAAAGGAAGAAGGTGAAAGAATCGGGAAGTAAATGCCCTAACCCATGTGGTCACCCGAGTAACACTATCCTGTTCCAAAGAGGTGGACAACTATATATATATATATATATATATATATATATATATATATATATATATATATATATATATATATATATATATAGGTTATAATGTTGATGGACAATTATTGTGTGGACGTGTGGACGATGTTATTCTATGAAAATTACTAAAAATATAAGTTGTTTAGTAATGTGAATACGTTCAACCTCAGACACTTATAATCATTTCCATGCATTCTCACTAATTATTATTCATTTTTGTTCTCACGTATCATTTTTCACTCATTTTCATTCTTATAGAATACCCATCAATAAACATCCTGACAACATTATGACAGCATGAGAATAATAATAAAAAAAATCTATAATAACATTATAGACGATTTAATTGATAAAAATGTGTGATAATAACAATAGTTATGTAATATTGAATGTTTTTACATTATCAAATAACATATTTTCTTTATCATTCTCATAGAATAACATTGTCCACATGTCTGCACAATGGATGTCAATCCACATTTGAATATATATATATATATATATATATATATATATATATATATATATATATATACATATATATATATATATATATATATATATATATATATATATATATATATAGATTCAGATTTATTTGAGACCATTCTAATTTTATGAGACCGTGAGACCAAATCTAAAAATAATTTTAAAATGCAAAATAAATGGAAAAATCCAAAAATTCTTTTTTTAAATATTATTTTCGGAACTTGAATTAACTAAAAAAAATATAAAAAAATATAAAAAAAAATAAAAAAAATTCCGTTTTTTTTTTAAAATACGTGAAATATTCTAAATAGAATATTACATTGACATATTCTAAAAAATAATTTTAAAATGTAAAATAAATGGAAAAATCTAAAAATTCTTTTTTTTAAATATTATTTTCAGAACTTGAATTAACTAAAAAAATTAAAAAAAATTAAAAAAATTCTATTTTTTTTGAAAAATACGTGAAATATTCTAAATAGAATATTAAACTGTACATATTCTAAAAATAATTTTAAAATGCAAAATAAATGAAAAATCAAAAAAATTCTTTTTTTAAATATTATTTTCGAAACATTAATTAACTAAAAAAAAATTAAAAAAATAAAAAAAAATAAAAAAATGCGTATCACGGTCTCACAAAATATAGGTGGTTTCAAATGAACCTAACCCTATATATATATATATATATATATATATATATATATATATATATATATATATATATATATATATATATATATATATATATATATAGAAGGATCATATTGCCCTCAATGTCAAAACATTTTTTTACATAAATTAGATTATACTTAACATATGTTGGTCACACACAAGATCATGCTTTCACGTTTACGTAATTGCAGATTCTGCAAATACATCTTTGTTGAGGTCGCATTCATAAAGCCAAATCTCCTTTAAAACCATTAAGTTTTTTACATAAATTATTCTATTATTACAGATATTAAAATGATGTTATTAATATAGATTGATTTTAAGTTTAAGGGTGTATTTATAAAGCTCCACCATTGTGGATGGAGAAATTGTTAACCTCCAAAGAATCAAAAGGAAGCTTAAGAAGTGGAAATGGAGATCCACTTGATGAACAAGGGAAACGCAAGCTAATTGGAGAGTTAACTGTTGAACATATTGATAATTTTTTAATGAAAGCTTTTCTTGATGTTCCTACTAAATGTCTTACTATCTTAAATGCAGCTATCATCTTCTCTAAGGACTAAGAACCCAAGAACATCATAAGGAATACATAAATTATTATAATGTTTTTTAATAAGTTTACAACATGATGAGTAAAGCATAATCTTAATTGATTATATAAAGTTTTCTTTTGTACATTTACGAATCTAAGTGGATGACTAATAGGAATGGTTCAAACGAATCTTAGATAATTATAGGAGATTGTATATATATCCTGTATTTTAGTTAAGTTTGTTATACTTTTATTATATATATATATATTGATCAATATACATCTCTCTCATTAACGCGAGATTTCTAAAACCTAATATGTTATCAGCCTAAGTTTCCTGGCCGTTATTCTCCTTTCTCTCTTCTTGATTCTAATCATGGCCGATGACTCTACCACCACCGATGCTCCTCTTCCTCTTTCTATTGTTCTCGACATGCTCACCATTAAACCTTCATCCACCAATTACCTTCTTTGGCACAAACAGATGGTTCCCCTTCTAGCCTACCTGCAACTTAGAGGCTACGTTGATGGAATTATTCCTCCACCACCAGCAACCCTTACCACTGGTGACATGAATTCAGCAAATCATGCCTATGCCTCCTAGACCGCTGCTGATCAATGAGCCCTAATCTTCATTCAGTCCTCTGAAGAGGAATGGCCGAGACCCTTAGTCACAGCACCTCTCACGCTGTTTTGTTTGCTCTTGCAGCCATCTATCAACATGATTCTCTTGAGCGAACTCACACGCTTACTGAGTCTCTTCATCAACTGAAGAAAGGCTCTACTACTGTTTCTAAATTTTCTTGTAAATTCAAGGGCATTTGTGATCAACTTCAAGCTATTGGTCACCCACTTTTTGAAGATGACAAATCACACTGGTTTCTTCGAGGTCTTGGTTCCAC